TTTTTTTTTTTTTTTTTTTTTGGAATTTTTTTTTTTTTTTTTTTTTTTTTTTTTGTTTTTAGCATATCAAGAAAACAGCCAGAAATTTTTGTCAGAATTACTTGGATAGATGGATCAGCTGTTAATTTATAAGTACGTTCTAAAATGTAGATTTGCCAGCTTTTCTTGTTGCTTTGACCAATGCTGCATTGCCTGGTTGTCGTCGTTCTGGCGGTTTTGGTGTTTGCTTCGTACTGCTCGAAAATAATGGAATAAAAGATAAGGGGTTGCTGTAAGTATGAAATGATAAAAAAGGCCTAATTTTGCACTGATGTATTTTTAGGTTTATTTTATGCAGTTCAGACTGGGATGGCTATTGACAAGAAGTCTCCGGAAGCACTGCAGTATCTGACATCGCTGCTTTCAACATTAGAAAATGTACGTGTTTCTTTATTTTTCGTTTAAGTTTCATGGGTACTGAGTTTTATTCAACCGCCAGTCACGTTCTTGAACTTTTTTATTTTTTCCTGCGTTTTTTTTGGTTTTCCACGTACGTAGCTGACAGCTTTTGCACCTCAAAAGATGCTCTGATCAGTGCTGCAACGCCCATCCTGTTTTACCTTTTCGGGAGAAAGTTTTTTTTTGTAATAATTTTGTTGTAATAATTTTACTACTTTTACTAATTTCGTAATCCTCATTTCCCACCTTCCTCTTTGATTCTTTTTATTTTAACCGTTGTTGATATATTTTTCTACTTAATTTATCGCACTTTTTCGTTTGGTGTGAAAGAATTACCGGATCAGCGGTTTTTCGAGCAACTGTATTTGGCAAAAATAGTCATTTTGGACTGTTGCTGTCCCGAAAATGCTCATTTTTGGCCCAAGACAAAGTACCTTACCGAGTAGGAGGAAACGAAAGGGAAGTAAGGTCTACTAGCGTGGTGATCATAAAACGATACAGTAGCCTGGTTATTACTGGTTTATATAACAAAGGATTTAGATGAAGAAAAATCTAGTTGGTCAGGAAGCACTGTCTCAGGATATGGTAGCACAGGCACATATCGAAAATTTTGCTATGAAGCTGTTCGAGTATGCCGACAAAAATGATCGCCAATCGAATTTCACAAAGTATGATTTCATGCACATTTTTTTTTTTTGGCTTTTTTCCTACGCTGTTAACTCATTTTTGGTTTATTAATGAAGCGGTCTTGATGATGCATGAAGTGGTAAACACAAGAAATTCGTTTGCCTCGACTGTCGCGAAAAACTCGCGAAAAGCTGGCCAAGAAGCCCTTACAAAGCAAAAAGAGAAAAGAAGGGTGTTTCCTGTCTTGAAAGGCAAATCACAGTAGATGTGCTGCTAGGCTGAACTTGGAGCACAAGGACTGGTGGTATAGTGGTAACACACTGCGTCCAGACGTGGGGAGGAGTGGTTCGATTCCTCCCTGGTCTAGAACAGTTTTCGAGAAAGAGCTCCGTTCATGACACCGGTATAGGGCGTTGATAAATTTTCATAATGTGAGAAAGAATCTCTTAAAAGAGGGGGCTTTTGCATCATTTTGTTAGTGGAGATTTGTTTTCTTGTCGGACTCGCAAGAGATCATTACAGTTATTGCATATATTTTACAAATTTTCCTAACTTTTATCTTGTAACTCGCGTTTTACAGGGGTGTTATTAAAGCATTTTATACAGCGGGGCATTTGATTGATGTCCTTACACTTTTTGGTGAACTTGATGAAAACCTTACTGCAACCAGAAAGTACGCGAAATGGAAGGTTAGCATTTACTTGTTATCATTTTTTATGATTCGAACTCAAATAATTTGTCATTGCGACGTTAATTTCAGTATTTTCAGGCAACTTATATACATAATTGCTTAAAAAATGGTGAGACACCAAAACCTGGACCAGCTGGTAGTGGTGGTGGTGGAAATGCACAGAACGATGATAATGTTACAAATTTCAACATCAACGTACCGCAAAGTATGTTGTTTGCTGGGCTCTAATTCGTGGCTTGACAAGGCTGCTCATGGCACTTGAGAGCATCCTAGTAACATCACTAACATGGGATTTTCATGGGTGGTCTTAATATTTTTGGTAAATGTTTAGTCAGACAAAAATCGAAGTCTCTTTTCCTTATTCCACTGTGCGTTAGGACGAAAGGTGATCCCAATTTTCCAGCAAAAATTACTTTTCGTGCAAGGATTTTTGTAATATTCCTTCCTGACAGTCACAGGAGAAGCAAACTTAGAAGATTTTGAATTTCCAGACCGCGCTAATGCCTTTTAATCACTGAAAAAAAATCAACAGTTTTGTTAAATAGCACTGATCGCCGCTCTCAGATGCTTTAGACCCACTAGCACGTGGTTTTTTTTCAGTGAATAACTCTTCGAGATTATCCAGAAATTTGCTTATTTTTCGGTGAAATTGCAGATCCCGCAGCTGCATCGGGAGGAACACCATCATCAGATCATTACAACCGTCCTGCGCAGCCACACGTTCCACCAAACGTACCTCAGGAAAAGCCGTTTACTCCTCCACGTGTATGTCCTGAGCGACCGCCAGCAGGAGGAATGGCTGAAACTTTTGAAACGGCTGGAGGACCATCAGCGGAAAGTACATCAAGTGATACTACTGGTTTGACAGTCACCGACTTTTTGGAGGCCCAAAAATATGCGAAATATGCTGTGAGTGCACTGAGCTATGAGGATGCGAAAACAGCCATTGAGTGCATGACGAAAGCACTTGAAATCCTCAAGAAACAATGATTTCTTATAAAAACGATCATTGATATATTTGAGGTTTTACTGACATATTTGAGCTCCAGTTTGATAAGCTGCGATTTCGTCAATAACCCTTTTACGATTGTTGTATCGGAAGCTTCATTCCCCTGTTCCCCTACTGGCGCTTGCTTTCTCTGATTTCTGTTGTTTTTTCGAAATTGAAATGTTAGATACGTTACATTCCCTTAGCAGGCTGTGTGCTTCATCAGCGCAATTATAGCTGTTCTCTTGGTCACAGTAGTAAAACTGTTATCTGACGTTTTTGCGCTAAACTTGTAGCAGTCAGATCATTAACAGCATGAATGGTTGTTGCTTTTACAGTTTAACGTCCAAACCCATGTTGGCTACGTTTTGGCCGTTTTTGCATGCGGAGAGAAAAGGGCATCTGCTGGGACGGAGTGATTGCATTGTGGGATCTTGTGGAATCTTAACTTCGGAAATGCATGATTGTCGTAAATTTTGCATGAAGGAAAATCAATAATATGCGGTGACCGCACTGAAAATACAAATTGGACATTTTGCATTTTGGATAAACAGGTTATCGCAAAAGAAGAATAATGAAATCCGCAAAAATTTAAAGCACTAATAACGTTTTGGGTTTCCCAGTTTTCGTGGGTTTGCAGTTGCCA